AAATGCAGTCGATAATATCACATTATAGTTTCTGTGTGTGTGAATGAAGGTGTGAGACTGCGGTTGACAGTGCCAAGTGAAATCATAATAGAGTTTCTGAGGGCCAGACACAGTGTATTATTACCTACCAGGGTTGTAGAAAGGTATAAAATGGCTGGCACTCACAGGTGTGTGTTTGATGTGAGACGCAGACGAGGTTTGAATTTGTATTCCTGTCCGTCTGCGTAGTCTGTGTGGGGTTCGACGTTTCCCAGCGTATCTTATGTTACACAGACCCTCGACCAAGCCTCCCCTCGGCACAGCGCGTCAATCAAATCGTGTAATGATAGCCTGATTGGCCGTCTATTGACCATTAATAGCTGTCTGTCTGGCCTCAGCCCATTATCCTTCAATCAAACTCTTGCACAATCACTCCTGGTCAAATCATACTCTTCACCTGATTTTTGCTGCGAGTACATCCACCGTATAATTGAGTTCCACATTTCCAAGAGGCCAGCGTGAGTTTGATCACCTATTTAGGGCCGTTTGCCTGAGGCTACCTGAGGGCGTTTGCAAAGCCAAAAGTGTAAAAGGATCTGTTTATTGAAGCTAGTGCTCTATACTGATTTGTTCTAAGAAACAAATTGATTCTAATTACAGTTTCAACGCCCCACCAACACATCCTCCTTTGCACTATAGAAGAAAAGAAATATTACACAGACTGTGAAATATCACTAATTTTTCCAGCTGATTGCACCATTACCACTTTAGATTTCTGACTGATCTCACTTACGTTATATTCTGGGAAATTCTGTGGGCACCTCTACAATGAAACACCGAGATTTCTTTGCTGCCTAAACTCTTTAACTGAGCAGCCACACTCAAACAGTTCTGACTGCTGGAGTAACTTAATGCTATTAACCTAATTTGAGATGAAATTATGTAATATGAGGACATGATTTTGCACATCAAGGGCACTAGTTATTAATTTAATGGAACAAATTGCTAATTAGTGCACACAGATTATTAATTTGAGGCTAGACATGACTAATATGTGCTCACAAATCAGATCAAGAAAACTCTACCTCGAGCCCTTCCAGACAAAACGATGTCCACGTACTCGCTTTTAGGTGGCAATTTATGTGCAGCTTATAGTTTTCATTAGCAGAAAGCTGATGTAAGGGTTTGTTTAAAAATGTTTAAAGTCCACTATATCTGCATCATTTCATCCATGTGTCCAAATTCAGTGTTAAAATGTGTTAAAATGTGTTAAATCACAAATATTCTCACAAATCAGCACCAGAGGAGGCACTCTGGTTTCCCTTTCCCCCCTTAAAATCACAACAGCAGTCTCAGAGCAGATGTGGTCGCAGTCCCAAAACAGTTTCAGCATTGTCGGAGTGAGGTGAAGACTACAGCTCTACATGGGTAAACATGCAGAGAGAGAAAGAGAGACTGCTTTCTCAAAATCTCTTAAAAAGTTAGCTTAATAAACTGGCGAATATTATGAAAAACGCCAGTTTTAAGACACTGAACAGTCAGTCTTGTTTTCATGAGCAATAAAAAACTAAGTTTTGTCTTTAAAAACTATGATAAAAATGTGTTGGTTTTTTTTGTTGTTTTTTTTAGAAAAGCAGGCAATATGAATCCTTTTCTTTGTTGCATAACTTCTATTTAATAAACCCGTCTTTCCTCCCTGCTGTCTCGTGTGCATCAGGTGTGAAATATTGCAGTCCCTTCTATAAATATGCTGTCATGTCTGCAGGAGGAGCATTGCTGCACATCTCCAGCTGAATGACAAAATATTGTAATTTAACTGATGCATTTCTGAAAAAGCAGAGTAACTATCGAGTGGATATTATATAGGGGCCTAGTTAATAAGAATATAAGAAACGAACTGACTTTATCTCCTATGACAGAAATTAGGATGACACGACGCGCCGCTTTTTGATGAAAGACAACAGCAGTTGACATTTTCACTTCAATTATGTCCTTCAGTCGCAGATATCAGCAAATGATTTATTAGAAAACAGATTCATGAACCGGGGAAGAAAGAAGACGCTGACATATTCCCTTTATGACGAAATAAAAGAAAACTGAGCACTAAGAGGAGTCAGATACTATATGCAGAGCATATCTCACAGTCCTCACAGTACTTTCATGGTCACAAGCTTATGAGTAAAATGTGTGCAGACATATCCGGTGTTTCTTCTCCTCTCTGTCGCCGTTTTCTTTATTCTGCCTCCTCTCAGAGCATCTCGGCTGACAGTCTGCAGCTACAAGTATATCAGATGGCAGCTTCCCTGAGGCACCGTAACGCCTCGATTCCTCAGCAGCCTCTGATTTGATATCGGACACAATCCAGACGGCCCACCCGCCAACCTCACCACCTCATCAGCCCTGTCACTCAATGTTTCCCATAAACACAGAGACACGCATGCACATTTTCCCCCGGTCTGAGGTCAGCCCTCCTTCCTATGGAAAACCTTTCTCTGCCTGTGTCTGGTTTCTCAAGCATGATTGAAGATACTCAATAACAAGAGATGCTTGCCGTGACCCCACCGTAACCCCTTCTTTATAAAAAAAAGAAAAAAGAATCGAGTAAAAAAAGGCTTCTGTCTGACCCTGCAACCATCTTCACCATCATCTTCATTTTTGTGTGTCCTTCCCCAAAGTGTGTTGTCTACATATTGTGCGCAGCTCCCTCGACACTCCCGGGAACCCCCCCTCCCCTTCCCCAATCCCCCGACCCACCCCCCTATCACAATGCCAGCATTAAAGAGATTGGTGGGGTTGAGCTATTGAGTCGAATTAGACATGGTCAATGTAGCTTTGGCTGGACCAAACTGCCCCGAGGACACAAGTTAGAGAGGCTGAATAGGACAGGATTGTGCAACTGTAGTGCGGCTCTCTTCCTTTATCACAAAGCGCGTTTGGATTAATTTAACAAAGGCACGTGTAAAGATACAAGTGAGCGGAGATGACGGTGAGATAAAGCGACAGGTGTGAAATGAGCCCTGCTTCATTTTTGTTCTTTTTTTAAAAAAAAAACAAACGTTGATTTACGCGCAGAGTTGGAGGCACGGATCTTCATGGAGTTGCTTGAGGAAACAGGTGTTATTTCCTTCTGCTGTAATTCATTTCTGTGTGAGAGAGGATTCCTGTGAGCTTTCAGATGAGGAGGCATTTGTATTCCTGTGCCATGAAAGCTAATGATGAGCACTGGGATCGCAGCAGGCTCTGTAGGAACAACACATTTTTCATGCACCTAAAGCTCTGGAGGGGGTTAACTTGAAAAAGTGGTAAAAGATACTTAACAATGATGTCTAATCACTTCAAACGAATCAAGGAAAAAAAGAGCTTTGCTGTAGAAATGACCGATTACACTTATCTGCTGTCTATGATGACACTTTTTAAAAGCAACAAACACTGATTTCTTTTTCCGTCTTTCTTCTTCTTCCACACACGCACCCCACTGGTCACGCAGACTTCCTTCCTGCTCCAAAATGGCATAAAACAGACAGTTTCTTTATCCAGCCAGGAACTGCTTCCCAGCGGGCCGGAAGCAATTTAATCAGTGTCATAGCAGACTCTGATGAGATTGTGCTCCGGGAGCTGGCATTGACTTGTAATTAAAGGTACCCTCCTTGCAAGCTAGGTGGAAATTAAGAGGCAAACAAGCAGCAAAGGTGGAGTGGACTCCGGAAAGTCCTGCTCTATAACTGTCTCTGTTGTGCTGAGCAAATAAGGAGCGATGAAAGTAAGAGATGTGGGGGTTTGGGGGGTTTGGGGGCTGCATCGCTCGCGGTCACCTGACAAGTGGCCCGGCTGCCTGGAAGAATGTGTTGCAATCTGACAAACACATTTGAAAAATAGCAGTTATGGCCCCCTGCCCGGCCCTTATTTTATTTTTTTCTGTTCTCAGGCTGAAGGTGAACAGTAACTTTTGGAGCCAAGGCTTTCAGGCTGAACCATTATTTGACACCACAGTTTCAAGTAAATGAAGGAGAGAAGTGAGAACAGAGGTTATTCAATGGAAGAGCCGTTTTAAGGCTTTTCTTTGTCAGCCTGGAGCATCCATACAGCTCTTAAGATTTTTGGCTCCAGTTCACGATGTTTTATGGCAGTGCAGCAGTTTTCTTTGCTACCTTAAGGCACGTTTCCATCAATCTCATAAGTTAGGACGTCAAGTCTGACACATACTGTATAGACTGAGTGATAATAGCAATTGAACTAGGGCAATATCACACGGCTTCAATTCATCCTGTTTGTTTCCATGCTGTAAGCTCCTTGTTGCTGTCACGATAACAGCTGGAGGACTATTGCAGCTCAGCTAGATTTCCTTTATTGTTGGAATCGCTAACATTTTGTTTTTTAAATGTGTTACTACCATCTATTGATGTTATTGCTGCACTCCACTTGGTTGCTCTGCAGATAGAAGTCATAGCTGCATTAACATTGTGAGATGGTCATCCCATGTTCCTGGCAGACAACTTCAGCATTCTGGCTCAGGCTGTCTTTGGTTGCAAGATTGTTGCAACTGTGAACAATAAACCACAGATGAACCACCAGTGTGGAGCAAGGACCAAATATATCACCACAATTCTTTCACACTGGTCATTTTGCATATAAAGCACCCTCAAATCACACATCATACAACTGGATTTGACTAGCGAGTTGGTTGACCCACTGTAGTTGTACCTGGGATTTTTAACTATTTGTGACACCTAAATGGAAAGGCTTGTGTCAAACTGTGAGGCCAAAGTAGAGGAATGACACTTGTACAACCTACACGTTTCTGTAAATGTGCTTGCTTTGAGTGTTAAGAAGTTAGATATACTTGGAAAATGCTATATCCATCCATCCATCCATCCATCCATCCATCCATCCATCCATCCATCCATCCATCCAGATAGATAGATAGATAGATAGATAGATAGATAGATAGATAGATAGATAGATAGATAGATAGATAGATAGATAGATAGATAGATAGATATTCATATACAGGAGAAAAAAATATCAGCTGCACTTTTAAATATAAGGTAATGCCATGTGCCACCACCCCTATGATCTCATCAAGAACTGAAAGTGTGGAAGCTTTGCAGAAGTACTATTGATGGCAAAGTTGCTGGATTGCATTTGATTTCCTCCTTTTCTTAGGTCCACCTACTGAATGCATTTTTAGTTTTTTGCCTAATCTAATATATATTGCTCAAATTTCCCGACTCCAAGCTTTTCATTGTCTTCACTTCCTATTCATCATTGGGCAATCCGCCAACCCCCCCCCCTCAGGAGCCTGTTGAGGTCTGTGCCTAAATACACTCAACCTGGTTCCTGCTGCTTAACTACCAACTTGCCGCTCTGTTGCCATAGATACGTGCTGGCACTGGCGAGGACTTGTGGAAGCTTGCAGAGGGAAATTTTTAGATTTACAGGCTGCCACCTGGATAAAGAGTTAAAAATTATTATTAAAATAAATAAATAAATAAATAAACAGCTTACCTTGTTTGTCTAAGTTCAGCTTTCCAAAATTGCCTAACACAAAACCAGTGTAGCCCTTTTAATTGCAAGCCGATGGGAATAAAACTGAGTTGATGCACTGCTCTGGGTTGTTTACAACATGCTGCAACCACACAGAAGCATCCCAGCGAGATATTAATGCAGTACACCTGGGCAGGAAACACACTGCCTTTAGCTTTGAAACATTTAAGTCAAAATTAGTTTTTAGCCTACATAAGTACACAGCTAAGGGTAAGACAGTTCATTCACTTAAATATTCAAATTCATTCCTTTTTTAAAAAGATCATAAAATGAAGTAATGCTATCAATTTTTTTTAATGTTGAGTTTGAGGCACAACATGCAAAGTATAGACTAAAATCCAAAATATTAATTCCAAGTGATAGTGAAGTTCAAGGGAAGCAGAATAGAGGTGAAATCCAAAAACAGGCAAAGTATCAAACAGAGGGAGAGCTTTAGGAACTAGAAAAAAGAGAGTGCCATGAAAGAAACGAGGACTTGGCTGTAGAAAGTTTGAGTGTGAAGGGTAACAAGAGAAACTAGCAAAGAACAAATGAAAGCAGGGGAACAGATACACGCTCAGTGATGATGTTATCTACCACAGGTATGGCAGAAAGGCGATAACGAAAGTACCAGATAAAGAAGAAGAATATTGCATACTTCTGCTTCAGTGGTCATCATCTTGGCTATGGGACCAAAAAGGTTTCAGCCATTAGATGAAGTTTGTGCCCATAAAGAAAACATGGACACTTTTTCAGGCATTTCAAGTTGAACAAAAAAATATGTGCTGAGGGGTTGATTAGAATTTAATGATGCAAAATGTCATTTACAAAACCTTAGAGCGTATGACTGGAAGTGGGCTTTCAGAAATGAGAAATACTAACTGGTTACAACATAAAACAGAAAATGGGGATAAAGAAGCTAAAGCGTGACAGCCAAGAGGTTTGTTTGCAAGTCATTGCCCCATTTTTGTCTCGCACATTGCCATTTTCAGATGAAATGTGAAAATGGAAAAAGAAAGTATTGTTTGTAAGTCCATGCTTTAAGCGAAGGTTACAAAATGTCTTGATCAGCTGGAGCTGTGTTTGATTGACAGCAGCTGGCATGTTGCAGTAAAAGCCAAGGTCAGTATAGCATGCAAGCCATGGAGACAGGAACTTGTTAGAATTTGTTTGAAGGTACATTTAAGTGCTCTTACTTCTGTAGTATTCAAAGTGGAAACAGCAGCTCACTTTTCCCAGCTGTGTGTTTGATTGTCCTTATTGAATAAAAAGGAGACTGTGAGAATAAAAGCTAATGTATATCATTGTTCAGCATCTTAGGTCGCCACAGCAGATCATCCGTCTCCATTTCACCTTCACCCTTGCATCCCCTTCTGTTACGCCAACTCTCTGCATGCCCTCCTCTCTGCGGTCTTCGTCATTTCCTTCTGCAGTCCCTTACTCACGCCTCCACACTCCTACCTTTGCTTTTCTCTTGCTGCTCCCGACCATGCTGGACCCGTCTCCTCTTCCTTTGTCTTTGCCCAGCAGTAGCACAGTTTCCATCGGGACCTCCGATGGCGGTGGTTGTTAACCTAGGCTCTGATCATTCTGGTAAGAAAATTTCACTCTTGATCATCTACATATTTTATTTGACATTCGGGGTCCTGACCCCCAGGGGTTGGTTGTGTATCGTTGTTCAAAGGTGGTAGAACTGCAGGTTTTTGTTGCGAGGATGCACAAGAATAGAAATGAGCATATCAGAGGGACAGCTCAGGCTGAGTGGTTTGGAGACAAAGTTAGAGAGCCAAGGCTGAAATGTTTTGGACAAGTGCAAAGGATCCATGTTCAGCATACTTAGACAAAGGATGTTCATAGCATACCAATGAAACACGTTGTCAAGCCAAATCGGGACATTGTAAGTATTCCAAGTTAAGGTACTTGCATACCCGCTCAAAGTAAAAAGGAGAACATGTTATTAAGAATGTAATTTAATGTCAGCTGGCCTTTAAAACAAGTGAGAAATATTTCATAAGAGCAGTGAAAGTACAGAAATCTAAGATCACAGTGTCTGAAAGTTCATGGTCTTTTATTTCTCTCAGTTCTGGAGACAACAAAACCTCCTCATCCTAGGCCACCAGTGGATTTTCCTTCCATCCTCTTTTTCTTTTTAAAAAAGCTGTCTGCTTGTTGTAGTAGTTTTACTTTTTAAAAAGAACCAAAAACGTACTCTCCAGACACCATTTTCCCAGCATCGATGCAGTAAGAGTCTCTCTTCACCTTAAATTAGTGACAAAGAGACGTGCTTGGACATTTATTAGTCCAATCCACACAGTATCCTCTAGGTCCAAATAGTGTACCTCTGATTAACTCATTGTATCAGACTGAATGATCAACTGACAGGCGAACGGTGGCTCACAGAGTCTTTTTAAAAGCGTGTGTGTGTGTGTGTGTGTGTGCACGCATGTGTCCTCCTATGGACAGCTTCCTCTGTGGTATTGATTGTCCTGGTTCCTCGCCGACAAACTGTTGCTAATCCCAAACACAGCAGGATGGGAAATTGGATGGGCACTATCGGGCCACTTTGGAGCCGACTTAAAGATTCTCGCTTCACATAAACACACACGCGCACATTGGTTTACAAGTGTGCACGGACACACTGAGGAGTTGATGTTGGCACACAGCATGCATCAGCTCTGCCCGCACGCTGTGACCCAATATGGAGTGTGACCAGCTGTCCATGTCTGGATTCTGCCTGTTTTCGGTGCTGAGATTTGAGTGCATCTGGGTTTGCTTGAGTGTATGACATGCCTTTTCTCAGAAATATTTGACAGCCACACACCAGCCTCGTTCTGCTGCTGACAGTTCCTCCCCCTTGCGCCTCCGTGCCAAGATAGCTCGGCCACCACAATTTCAAGCTTACAGCAGAGTCCCGGTCATCTGTCATGATCTCCTGGCCTGCCTGCTCTCAGCCCGGCTTTTTAACTAATGAGAGGATTTGTAGAGTCATTCTTTGACTTTCAGGACTCAGTGATTTAGTATGAATTAAGCACCTGCCAAAGCTGCTCCTGCAGATAATAGAAATTAAAAAAATGACATGTTCTAAAGAATAAAACTCATACCCTTGAATAAAATATTATTGGTTTGATTTTACCTTGGAACCTTAATTGGGTGTCATCCTGCACTGTCTCTGTCCTGCTCTCTGTGTGTGTCATGTCTCACTCTGCTGTGAGGTATCTAGTTAAAGTGAAAATGCCAAAAAAGAGAGACGTGAAAGGCGAATCTGTCGGAAGAAATACTTTTCTTGACCATTTATACGGTTGTCTTTGTCATATCTCTGCTTGCATGCACAACATTGGGCTTTGTCTCAGTGATAAATGCAACTTTTGAAAGGAGGAATCAAACGAGTTATGCAGAGAATTTAGAAAGACAACTTGGCACTCGCTGATCCAAAGTACTCATGCGAGTTATGCAACTAACAGACGTCCTATAGGAAGAGGCTAAAAATATGGCCACATTTTTCAGCTTGAATCTCCTGAAGTCACACTACATAAGTTTGATTAAATCAGGGCGTCAGCGCTGTTTACTTTATATAAGACAAAAAAAGCATTAGGGTTTTGGGTTTATTGCACAAGGTGAAAAGGAAGGAAATGCTATTAAAAAAACATAAAAACTGAAATGTCATATTTTTCATAGACTATATTTGCATGACACTACCAGATGCACAGACCTCATTATCCTTATTTAAATCAAAATGAAGTGGCAAAATCACTATTTGCTAACATAGAAGTGTTGTTGTTTTTTGTCTAATCAGAAACTGATACTGATGCCAGGAACAGTGATTTTTTGCTTGATTGCAGAGGACTAGTGTGATTTTGCAACATGTTAAGGATAATTTTAAACATTTAAACATAAACAGACACATAATCAGCCTTATGACACATTCTTTCCAACATACACACCTCCACGCACGCAAACGTTGTCTCAAAATAAAGGGGGAAAGATTAAGGGTAAGCTAATCTATAAAAATGTGTTTTCCATGTAGAGCTTTATAGGTCTGTTAATACTATATCACTGGAATCCAGTGAAGGGATGCAAGAATAGGTGTGATATGTGAACGCTGGCTAGTTTTTGTTAGCGGCTTTGTGCTGCGTCCTGCACTAACTGGAGGACAGAGAGATGCACATGAAAAGTGAGTTACAATAACCAACGTGGGGGAAAATTGAAGTGTGTACTAAAAGTTTCAGATGACTGAATAACAGTAAAGGTTTGCTTTTGCTATATTTCTGAGGTGAAATGGAGGTTTAGGAAGCATCATAGCCTGCAAATGGAAGATGTTATATTCCTTAAATGCACAACAATAATAGCTGAAAGTTAAGGAAGAAAAAGAAGATGCAAAACCAAGTGAAACAAAATGCTGAAGGTCTCAGAGTAGAGAACAATGACAGGTAGTCTGATAAGAGGAAAGAACAAAGTACAAGAGGTAGAGCGTGCAGACGTGACAATGGCTTGATGCATTTTCAAGAGTCTCAACTTGATGACGCACTCAAATATTCATGCTTCCTCTCAACGAAACAAAAACCCCGACAGCTGCCAGCTCGAGTGGCCCGCATGCACCCCTTAAAGAGGACTCGGTCATTTTTTTGAGTCATGATTGTTTTCATGTTTCAGACTGGAGGACAAACATTATAAAATCATAAAATAAAATATGGACAAATGATCAAAAAGTTCTTTTTTTTCCCTTTTGCTTCGTGGTGTAGTCGAAACAAGCAGCCCTAAAGCTTGAAACATATCCAGCTTCACTGAATCTAGTCTGCTGCAGACTGCACTGAATGTTTCCACCTGTTTCATCAGCATTATTTTAGTTGGCAGTTGACTCCACTGTATTGTAATGACAAACATGGGCTCTATTTGCATTTGCCTAATTAGTTACCGGCTGTAGTGAGAGGGATAATTGATTGCAGGGCAATATGGTTGATTTGCAACTCAACCAAGCTAATAATTTGTTATTGATTGAAGCATTAGTGAGGAAAACACTACAGAGATATGTAACCAAGCCAAAGTGCTGCAGAAAGTTGATGCTCTCAGTTTTTAATCTACTTTAATAACATTACACTCCGCTAAGCTAACATCGTAAGGAGTGCGGGGTTGGGAGATGATGAACTGCTGGTTTCAGCGCCGCACTGTAGACTCATATGTTATAACTGGAAGAGATTACATTTACCGGGGAAGCAGGAGTGTCTCTGTGTGTGTGCATTTGGAAACATCTGCGTGTAAGTCTGCCAAAGTCTGTTTGCATAAGACGTAATTCAGAAGAAGCGAGAGAAACCAGTAATGCGCTGAAATGCATCACATGTGCAGTAAACATGCCAGGATGTCAGGTGTATGCAAGGATCAAAGTTGTGCAAACATTTTCTTTCTTTTTAAAAAAAAATCCAGCACTGAAGCATCTGAAAGTCGCAGATTTTAAGTGAACTCGTTACTGCTTCACTAACTGCTGGAACCTTCTGCCTCATTGAACAGTCCACAATTGGGTTCAATTTTCCTGTTTTAATCAGCCATCAAATGAACTTTAGAGGTTTAATTGCACATTTTAAATAATTATCTCAAGGGTCAGGGGTACCTCTTTAAGAAGCTAGATTTTCCCCGCTCTGAGTCTTTCTAACCTCTAACTCTATTCATTTATTTCCTGCATTTCACTCAGCTTTCTAGCTCATCTTTCCAGCCACCCTCTATTTGTCTGGTTCTTTTTTTTTCAGCCCACAATGATGTCCTTTCTATCAAAATGTTTTTCCTTTGCACCGTTTTTTTCAGTCTCTTTCGGTTTTCCTGTGCTTCATTCAGGAACGCCCTCAGGAATAGAAAGTCTGCGAGGAAAAAAAAGATTTTGAAGTGACTCAGAGAGAGCTTCGTTTCTTTGAAGCCAGGTGTAGAAATGTTGCATTGAGGTGCTGAAGTCATTTCTTCTCTTCTCCAGCTGTATCCCGGAGGCCCAGCTTGACAGCTAGAGGAGAGGTCATCACCATGACTGCGTCCTCACAGGACTCCGCCCCCTCGTCTATGGCTGGCCTCTTCCTACTCCTTCTCCTCCCGGCTGTTTTCACGCAGAACTCCGCTGTCCCAACGACCCCGATCCCATCCTCGTTGGACCCCCTGACCCATCTGGAGTGCACAAAGAAAGAACACCCAAAGGTTTCCATCAGAGGTCAGTGATCACCTCCAACCGCACATTTTGTAGCAGTCAGTGCTGTACTTGCAGTGCTGCTTCTACATGGACACATTTTGCTGGGACAATGCAGTTTGTGGCTTTTGTAAAATTAGCATTTTCATTCAGCTTCCTGGTAATTTGATATCTTGCTTTTTCTTCTGTGACAGCTTATTTTCAAATTTCAGATTTATTACCGTTTCCTTTTTTAACAAAAGAATTTGAAATAAGGGAAACATGAAAGGATAGGCTGTGAAAGCAGTCAAGTGTCGAGCTGCTGCTGCTGACTTATTTGGAGTCAAAAAAAGAGAAAACAACACCATGCTTCACTTTAGTGTCAGCTCCAGCTTTATTCAGACATAGTGGGTACATTTCTTTTTTAGATGAGGGACACTCTGCTCTGAGCAATCATGCTGAAGTCCATCTTGCTGTACTGCTGTCATCTTGTCGATAATCTATATTGACTCATCTTAAATGTACACATGGGAGAAAAAAAAGGCCGATACAGTTGAAATCTATTGAGCTATTCATCATGCACATCCCCTAAAGGTGAGGTGAGGGGTGCATATAATCCCTGAGGAAAAACAGTTGATGTAAAGATGTAATGGAAAATAATAAAACTTGCCGTATTTGGTGTCATGGTTAAGGTACACGAGCATTCAGAGAAACTAAAGTTTTTTCCTAATTCCTAACCTTTGAGCTATGAAGCTTTACATACTAACATGGTGAATTTTATTATCTTTACTCATATGACTGGAGCTGATTTTAAGTTAGATTTACACAGTGTGCGATTTTGCAAAAATCATGGCATTGTATTGAAAAAATAAAAGGTGTGTTGCGCAGCTCTCTTCATGCCCTTTCATCTAATATGTTACTCTATGGTTCCTTGAACTTTGACCTTGGGCGCTAACAATAACAGTCAAGGTCAAGTAGAGGATCCATAAAAATTTTAAATAAAACATTTTTATAGATTTTTACTTTTGGTGTGACCTTGACTTTGATCTTATTTTCACTCAAATTAAATCAGAAATCAGCTCGAGCTGGTATTGATGTCTACCATCACACAAAATTTGAAAACGATATGTTGAAAACTGCGGATGCTAGACTGACAAACACAAGCGACTGCGTACCTTTTTTCCTTGGTCACAGCTCCTGCTTACGTGTTAATCCTGAACACTTTTCTCAGTGTTGCCATGAGGTTCCTTTGCAGTTATAGGGAATTAGCATCTGAAGTAGAGTCAGATGTTACAGACATGGTTTTGAAACCAAACACAGCATGCATCCAGCGTTACAGTCTGATGTATGCAAGTGTGGGAACAAATGAGTCTTTTATGCTTATGGTTTGAAATCTCCAATAACATTGATTTCACAAGCCTAAAGTTCAGTGTGGCAAACTGTTGCTGTCAAGTTAAGGGGGACAGTTTGGCCCCAGGGAATTTTATGTCAGCTATTTTTCATATCTGGAACCCTATTTGCCACTTTTCAATTTTCATAAATGTATCTTTGTGCCATCTGTAAATAGAACCTCACAGTTTGGCGAGGTCAAAAGGCATCTATAAAGGAGCAGAAAGAAAAACGGGCCAAGATTAAAATGATAGTGTGGAATAATGGCGCCCGCTATCTTGCCCGTTCATCTGTACAGTGGGCCAAGAAACGAGGTGTTCCTCACTGCGTGAAATGGAACAGAACAGTTTGGAGCGCAGAATCAAAGGTAAATACACACAAAATTGCTGTGTTTATTTTTGAATAGGGCTGTTTGTGTTTCATCTGCCAAGAGTGGTGAGTAGGATTGGAAAGCCCAAAAAAAATTGCTGGTGGAGATTGAGGACAGAAAGATTGGAGAGGTGGCCTGAAGGAGTTATGAAATGCTCTCAGCCCCCTCCAAAGCATGCATCCGTCTTTTTGGTTTTTCTTTTTTGGAGTGTGCCGTTTTCTAACAAGACTGTTTATGTGCTTGTGTCCAGCTTATCAATGCTGCAGACCTGAACTCTGTCTATGGTTCTGAAGATTGACGTAAAGACCCATGTGCCATTTGGTTCTTTATGCTGAACTTTCTGTGTCAGAGCAGTTTTAAGTTTGAAAACTAGAGCCTCCATTCTATTGGATTTACAATCTATAGAAATCAAGAAATGGCTTTTTTCATTCCCCCACAAAACCAGACTCACACTATCTATATGCAAGGGCTTTTTCCCTGTCCTGCTTCACCCACCCGGCCTCCAGATGTCCAGATTAGCCTGGGCCCCGCCAGTGCTTCACTTCAAAGGCGTGCCACTTGAGAATGGCTCTCATGGCAGGGAGCTGCAGGGCCGTTGGCCTGTCAAAGCAAGCAGAGCGGGGCATTATGTGAAGGCAGCCTTACAGAAAGGCCTGCACAATGAAAGTGCCAGCAAGAACCTGAGATTAGCCTCTGTGATTGATGAGCGTTTTATTGTAGCTTGCTGAAGCGCTGCGTCACCTGAAGGAGACCAGCCAGTCTTTGCTATGGGCATGCACAAGTGTGTGCTCATGCTGTACAAGTGTATGCATCTATACTGACAAGTATTTATAGATATAGGTGTGTTTTTCTTGTGTTTTGACTTCCTATCTAAATGAGTTTTAGATTTTCTATGTGCAGTCCAGTGACATTTTATCCTGGCAGCACCAGTAGAAGGCATCGCATGTCCTCCGGTCCTCCACCTCTGGTTCCTCCGACCATAAACCTCCGTGGTATCCAATATTCATGTTTGTCATTGGCTATAAAATATTCTGTATTGTCTCTCTGCCCAAACAAACAAAACAGCAGTCTCTGTGTATCACACTGCACTCATCATTTTTCTCCATATGAAAAGGTTAGATGGAGTTACTTAAAGTCGAGGATAAAAGGTCATCTCATCTTATTCATTTATAAAGGACTAATGTTGACTTTCACTGTATGCACTTACCTTGGTTACCTGTTCAAACAGCATCAGCTCAAAACTATTAAATAATGTTTTCACGATTCTTGTAATTGTTCTTAATGATTCTTTGTGTATTGTTGTTGTCGTTCTGTCTGCTGCTGATTGTCTTCTTGTGGATATGTCTTGTTCTTGCTCTCTCTTGTAAATGAGATTACAAGGGATTACAGGAGATTTTAATGAGACTGAGTTAAAAAAAAAACCCAAAACAATTTATATAAATAAGTCCATCAACTCGAGCGTGTTATGTGGATTTAAGACCAGCTGTATTCTGTATACTTGGAGGAGTAGCGGGACACTCATATTGATAAGAAATGTCTCTTAATAAATAGATGTACTTGCAAAGAAAACTTAGTATCTGGTAGATATGAAGAGAATTATCCTTGTTTATAGCCACTAAATCATTTTTACAGCTGCTTTATTTTTAGCTTAGTTTGGTTGTGACAGCTGTGATCACAAAGAAGAAATCAATTTTTAAAAAGAAGTTGAGCACACATGCGGCGGTTGCGATGTCGGGGGAATGTACTATAAACACAGAAGATGCAGGAGACAGTAGACAAACTTCCACCGAGGTTTAGTATCAAACCTCGTGACCCACTTTAGTTTGGTCTCAACAGCATGGTATTTCTACCATCCGCTTGGACCCACCACAAACACACTGCTGCATGTTTGTATCCCTGGTGTTCCAGAAGATGTGCCAGAAGAGTTGTTTTTTTTTTTTTAGCCACACCACAGATCAGTGCAGAAATACAGCATCGGAATCACGTAACCTCCACCCACAGGCACACACTGTATGAGCCGCCAGCTCGTGATTTAGATGGATGATACTCCCTGAGAGCATGAGACTGCAGGTCTGATAAGAGCACGGGATAGGGGGCAGCAACTGGAACGCTCTGAATCTCGATATGGAATCTGCTTAAAGAATTTATGGAGACGTTATAGTTTATGTTATTAGGCTCAAAGAACTGTTCTAGGAGCTTATGAAAAGGGTCAACCTGGTTTGTGAGACGGATACCTGGGCTGTTCCTTCATCACACCAAGTGCAGCAGCAGTATCCATCAAAGCAACACAACGTTTAGCCAGGGACTATGTGCAGAAAAATAATGCTTTATAATAAGACCTTTGTCTCCGGTCCCACTACGTCCGTCGCAGAGAGTAGGAGGCTGTTTGTCTGATAGATTCGATTTCTTGACAGAGTGGGACCTCTGCTTGACTCAAATCACCGTAATGTTCCTCTAACAATAGAAAGAAAAACAGAAAACAGCCGACGTTGCTGCTAATTTTCTATTTGATACCTTGCAAATCTCGCCTCCTGAATTTGCTTTTTATATCTCTTATTTCCAGATTGCCTGCACTGTTCTATCCACCATCGCACTCCCCACCTCTCTCATTTATTCTCCTCCTTTTCCCTCTCTCCGAGCTTCTCCTGTTAGAGTCTCTTTTTCTCCAACTTTCTGTTCCAGTCACTTTTTACTCTTTTTTTCTCTCTCTCTATAATAGGCAGAAAATGCATTGCGCATCTTGTATCTCTTTCATTGTCTGGGTAATGGTGCTGTCGATGAGCTGTCGTCTCGCCATCTGAAGGGCTCTTGAGGAGCACGAATGATGCTACTTTGAGCCATAATGGTTCACTTAAAAAAAAAAAAGTGCTCGCCCTGAATTTATATATATATGTGTATATATATATATATATATA